GACGTGAAGTAATCCTGATTGAGGTTGACATCACTAGTCAGGACAGGTCAGCAGCAGTCGAGACCGAGAAAAAGGGGAAGTATGACCTATTTGCTAATAAGCTTAAGTCAAAGATGAAATGCAGGCAAATAAATTCCGTATGTGATGATTTAAGATGGAAATGTAACGAACTTCCATAAAGGTATGCGAAGGAGATTAGTATATCAGGCCACGTCGAGGCATAATCCGGTCGATAGTTCTCAAGAAGACGCTTGAAAGCATCTCCTTCGACAGTCGATATGGATTCCACGAGGACAAATCGAGAACGATGAGTACAACAAATCTGAGCGCGGGACAAGTACAGCCAGAGTGCCAGAATGCGATTTAACGCCAGATCCAATAAAGCGAAAATTAGAACTAGCTTTTGCATTTTATTTATTTTTATTTTTACATTAAATTAAATAAAATGTACAGGGACTAGCCAAACTGAATGCCAGGCGAATACAGCAAGAGTGCCATGACACTATCTAGCGCGAGAACTAAGAAACAGTAAAAAAGTTAACCTCCGACCTGCTGCACATGATTACCATTACTTTAAATTGGTAAATTTTCCAAGAATTGATGACCAAATCCTTTTATTTCAAAATGTTTAAAGAAAAATGAATTATAGATGTTTTATACTTACTGAATTTTCTTTTTTACTTTTGCTTTATATATGAACTCAGTGTGAATTTGTAATACAAGCAAACAGAACTAGTGAAATGGCAGTACAGAAAAATAGAAATTGCCTATTTTTTCAATACTAAATGGGTTTTTGAGGATATCGGCATTATAAATAAAATAGATTTTGTGAAAAATACAACACTCCACATCATAGCTGAATAAAGGTGCAAAAAATGTAATAGGTCGAATTCGCTTAATTGTTTTCAGAATATTTTAGAGAGTTAAAAATTGGAACTTGCATCTTTTTCATAAAATAAAAGTCATGCTTTTTCAAATCACAACACGGAACTTGCATCTTTTTCATAAAGTAAAGGTCATGCTTTTTCAAATCACAACACAAGTAACAAAATTTGTTTTTAATTTAATTCCATGCTTTGCAGTTTGATATTAATTCAAGTAATATGCATTTCATGATTTGGAGGTGCTCAAATTTTTCAATGAAGTCTGGGCTATGATCGGACAGTTCAAGGTATAATATTAAATTATGCTAGAACTAGAAAGTTTACAAGAAATTAAAATGAGTATTTAAAATAATTATTTGAAATCGATTGGTTCTCATTCCAGCGTTTCAACAAATATATAATGATGGGAGAGTTTTAGAAAATTTATGTACTGGAATGATTAACATTGGTGATTGGATGTTTGTAAGGATTGTACTTTAGAGAAATGTCACTGGCATGCTATGCAATTTCTGCAAAATTCATTGCTAATAGAAGATATACGAGCTGCTTTGGAAATGACAAGATTGAAAAAGAACAGCTAAGAAAATGAGAGGAGAAACTCGAACACAAGGTTGAAACTATTACATACTTGTTTCATTTCATTGAAAAATACGATTACAGCAAGCAAATTGAGAAATTGATCCTCGACAGGTATATAACATAAGCTTTTTTCATATATTGAAATTGTAATTTAATACAGAATCGGAATAAGTGCTAGATTCCCTAAATAAGGAAAATTTGTCGTGAGTAAAGCGTGAATAAGGTGCTGTACGAGTTGTGGACATTTTGGTTTCTAATCAATTTCGAACCTTAATTTTTAGTCTTGTTAAGTACTTACCTAGTTGTTATCTACTGGAATTTTCAGCCATATGATTCTACCATGGATTTCTGAATTTAGCACTACGTTCATCAATCATTGATTGTACTTGGATTTAAATGTCCAAGCAATGGGAGGAAACTTGCATATGCTGTAAAATATCATTGAGAAGTAACCGGAATGTATTATGTGAAAATTAATTCATTTCATGCGCATAATTCACTCTAAAAAGACAAA